AGTTTGCATGTTATCCCTGACCAAGTGTGACGAAAATGGATGGATGGAACAAAAAAAGCTTCAAAAGTCAGTTTCTCCTTCTCTAAAAAGCCCCGTGGAAATTTTTCTGCAAACAGACTTTATTTTCAGCTCCTTGAGACAAACCAATGAAAAGTGAGATTTCAGCATCAATCATTCATCAGCTCTGCTGCTCCTCATTGATCCTGTTTGGGGAAGTGAGCCAGAAAACAAAAGCTTGAGCCAACCTTGAGCCGAGGAGCGATGGGATGGATGGAGGAGCTCTGCGGGACGCCGCTGGCTCCATGCTTCATAAAACAGATCGTGATCAGTGAATATGGAATAAGCCGTTTGCTCTGCAGGTGGAATGAAACCAGAATGAAACCAGAGCTTCTCATCAGTCCAGTCAGGCTTTCTGCCTCCATGTGGATCATTTCCCATTTTTAAAATGATTTTTCTATAGTTTGAGTTCATTGTTTTCCTGTTTCTATTCAGTTTTTTTGTTACTTTTTTACATTTATATCCAGTGTTTAACATTTTCGGTTCATTGTCAATCACTCTATCTGTATGTTAATTCCATCCGTCCGTCTAGCCGTCTGTTTTTCCTTCAGTCCATCCAGGCAGTTAATTATTCAAATCAGAGTCACCAGCGCCAACACAGAGTCTCTCCACAGCCACTTTTACTAATGGGCTGCGTACTCCCAGAGATTAGAAATGTATGTATTTTTCCGTTTAAAAATAATTGCTGTACTTATGAAACAAACGGATCAGCCGGCATGTCACGCATTTGCATAGGAGCCGATCCTGAGCGTTTTTGCAGATAACGAGGCGGCGACGTTAATGACGGCTGAAACAGGCGGCCATGTTTCAACAGCTAGGCTCTCAAAACTGGAGGACGCTTGAAAATGTCACTCAGGAAAACTTTGAAAAGGTCAAACCGCCGCTGGATGTAAACTCTGGTAATTTGTAGCGAATTAGAAAAATGTTAAGCCAGAAAAAAGCAAACAGGAACGTAACCTCAGATTAAATTAATTCAGCTTCTTGTTCAAATCCGCTGCCAACTAATAGAAATCCATTATAGATATAGATAGATAGATAGATAGATGAATAGATAGATGATAGATAATAGATAGATATATAATAGATAGATATATGATATACAGATAGATATAAAGATGATAGATAGATATTAGATGGATGGATGGATGGGTAGATAGATGATAAATAGATAGATGATAGATAATAGATAGATAATAGATAGATATATAATACATAGATAGATAAAAAGATGATAGATAGATAATAGATAGATATTAGATAGATATATGATAGAAAATAGATAGATATATGATACATAGATAGATAGAGAGATGTTAGATAGGTATTAGATGGATGGATGGATGGGTAGATAGATAGATGATAAATAGATAGATGATAGATAATAGATAGATAGATAATAGATAGATATATAATACATAGATAGATAGAAAGATGATAGATAGATGATGGAAAGATATATGATACATAGATAGATAGAGAGATGTTAGATAGATATTAGATGGATGGATGAATAGATAGATAGATGATAGTTGGATAATACATAGATATATGATACATAGATAGCTATAAAGATGATAGATAGATATACGATAGATAGATAGATATACAATAGATAGATAGATATATGATAGATAATAGATAGATATATGATAGATAGATAGATAGATAGATGAAAGAAAGAAAAAGAAAGAAAGAAAGAAAGAAAGAAAGAAAGAAAGCAGTGACTCCTCCAGGCCAGCAGGTGGAGCTCTCTGTTGTAGGAGTCTTCCTGTAAATGGGAATTATTTGTTTTCTCTTGATCTGTTTTTCTCATTTCTGATCAGAATAATCTGGATTACTTTATATTTTAATTCTCCTTGTAGATCAGAGAAAAATAATAAATTATAAAAGTAATATATGATTAAAATGCCTCTATTCTGAAATATTATTGGCCATTTATTAGATAAATATTTTATTCTGCTAAAAAATATTTGTACCCAGTCTAAATTAGACGTATAGTTTGAACCAGCCAGATCCTCTGACCTTTAACCTCGGAGTAACTTTGCCGTGTGACCGATTGGAGCACAACATCAGCCGGAGGAGAAGCTCCGCTAGCTGCTAGCTGCTAGCTTCTGATCCAGCTTCTGAGCCATGGAGACAGAACCGAACCTCCTGAACGGTACCTGCTGACTCTGCTGCCGCCATACGTGATGTTAAACCATTTAATGCCGGAATTAACTTTTTATTTTCCCCTTATTCAGCTGACAGGGTAGCTAGCTTGTAGCAACTTCTAGTTCTACTTTACGAAAAACAATTAAAGTGGTTTTTATTAGAAGTAACGTGTGTAATTAAATCAGGTTAAAGAGGAAAGCAAAGACTAAAGTAAAGTTAGGGTTTAGTTTGTAGGATGTTTTTCTTTTTTTTCCTGTTAGCTAACAGATTAGCCGCCATGTTTTAGCAGCAGCTTCTGTTTCAGATGAAAGTTTCAAACATTTTCCCTTCTGGAGAAAACAGGGAACAATAAATGTTATATTTTTAACAGTTTATAGAAGCAATGGGTCCTGCTTTCTAAGAGAAATATCAATAAAATATAATAGCTTAAACCTTTAAAATAAGCTGGCAAGATAAACAAAAATAAATCACTTCTAGAGTAAAGGTCTAAAGATAGAAGATTTGGATTTTTATTATTGAAGGGAACAAGATGATTTATTTAACATGGAAAAATAGTTTGAAATAAGAATTTTTTTACCCACACATTAATTTAAACATCTGAAATTTTTTCCACTGCGTTGTGCTTTTATGAAGCACAGAATTATTAAAACAAATTATTAAAATCATAGTATGTAATTTTTACTGTTTTAATAAAACTAAAACATTTTGGAATAAAATAGAAAAATCTATTTGTTAAAAAACGATAATATTCGTAAAATTGTTGAAGAATAATGGATGTAATCTGATCTTCATAAACAAATATTCTAAACATTCCCAAATTTTCTTAACTCTCTTATTAAATTTGACTTTAATTTAAAAATATATAGAAAAATATGACAACCTGAGTAAAATGTTAATGTTAATGTTTTTTATTAGTTTTTTGTAATTTCTGTTTCTAATGAATTCTGCGTCTTTCTTTAATTTTGTTCTTTTAAATAATGTTTAAATAATTAACGATGCCTCTGTTCTATCTAGAAAAGAATAGAATAGAATTCAGCTTTATTGTCGTTGCACCGTCACAAGTACAAAGCAACGATAGATGAACTTGGAAACAAAGTGCAGTGGATTGTTTTTAACTGTTTTGGACTGACTCTGACCTGGATGACTGAGAATCGTCACCAGCAGCTTTAAAATGAATAAAACCAATAGAGAAGAGGATTAAAGAAATAAAGCGCCGTTGTTGATGCTGTCTAAACCTCCCTGCTCTGTTTGCTCCAGGGTCCAGCCCAGCCTCTTGGCTTCTCCTAAAAGCCCGGGTGGCGGCGGCGGTGGCGGTGATAAGGAGCAGACCCCCTGGCCTGAGCGTCCGACAGCACGGAGAGGCTCTGGGCCGCAGACTGAGGATGCGGGAGGAAGCGTGGAAGGAACGAGCCCAGGCGCTGCAGCAGGAGGTGCTGAGGCTGCGTCAGGAGCTGCTGGTCTCCAGGGCGACGCTGAACACCAGGAGCCATGTGGAGGCTGCAGGTGGGGCCCAGAGAATAAGACCGAAAGTGTTCTAAAGATGAAGGAACAGCCGTTTCTGTTAGATTAACAGATTCAATTCTAGATCTACAGTCAGCAGAGATTAACGGCAGCTAAGCTTCAGATTAAAACAGGATGGTAATCTGGATGAACCGTGTTTTCAAGAGGACTTTCTCACTTAAAAACATATTAAAAATACTTTTTCCCACTGATCACAGCAAATTTAACTGCCATTGTTACAGGAAAAGAAAGGATCGGGAAGCTCCGCCCACCACGCATCAAAGATGCTTCAGAACTAAACATGTTCAAGCATCAAAAATTAAGCAGCACGCATGGTTTTGCTGCATCCGCTGAGCGCAGTCTGAATGTAGCATAACGCAGTGATTCCCAGCAGAAGGTACACGTACCCCTAGTGGTCCGCAAGTGCATTGCAGGAGGTACAGGAAAATATTTCATTTCTTAGGTAGTAAAATAAAATTGGGCTGGGATCTGTTCTATGGAAAATAACAGTGTCATTGGAACCTGCCTTTTTTTTAACACCGAATTTTAAACAATGAATTTTTTTAGACATTGCACCCATCCATCCATCCATTAAACAGATTGAATTACAAAATGTGGCGGCGGCAAACAAACAGGGTGCCGTCCTAGCTGTGATCGGCTCAGTTGTTTTACTTAGTCTGATAAGAGGAAAAAACCTAATAGATGTCTGTTGGTAGCTAACTGACGTTTTGTAATTCTGTTCTTCAAAAAAAACATTCCTCATTCTGCCGGAAGCAGCGCTGAGCGCAGCCGTTGTGTCACGTGACGAAATAAGCCAATTTCATTGGCTAGAAGCTGCTCGACTCTGCTTTGGCTGGAGTTCACCAAAAGGTCAACATTTTTGCCGCTGAATTTTTTGCGGCTGATTTTTTGCAGCTGAATTTTTTACAGCAGAATTTTTCGCAGCTGAATTTTTGCAGCAAAATTTTTGTGCAGCTGAATTTTATTCTGGTGAATTTTTACCAGAAAAAAAAATCAGTGTTTAAATTTCGGTGTTAAAAAAAGGCAGATTCCAATGAGACTGTTTTTCTTTCATACTGTTCTACTTGTATTTTTCTTTTGTTTTGTGTTTATTTTGGTTCTTTACGAACTTCCAGGAAACATATTTATGCTGTTTTTGTATTTGAGATGGAAAGAATAAAATAATAAAAATAATAAATAATAAAATGATAATTAAAAAATTAGTTATTGTAGGTTTTATAGCTGAAAGAATTAGTCGGATTAATTGCAGTTAATCGATTATTGAAATCATTTTTAACTAATTTAGTAATCGATTAACTGATTAATTAGCTGGAGTATAGAGACAGTGAAATGTCTCTAGCTGTCAGAGCGACACACTTAGAGCAGGAATTATACCAAGATTGTGAAAGAAATATGCAAATATTTTGCATTTAGGATTAAAAAATATGTTTTTCTGTCAATCTGCTCTATAATCCAGAACTCCTCAAGTGGAAAAGTTTTAGTTTCACCTGGTTTAAGTTTAAGGAACTTTTGTCCATCTGATTATTAATCGATTAAATAAAGAAATCATCTTTATTTGCATCCTGAGAACAAACCCTTCAGCTCCAGTGGCTCCTGTCCTCTGACGACTCTGCAGTCGCTTTCCTCACCTTCTGCGTTGTTCTCCAGAGTGAGAACCCGGTCTGACGGTGAAACGGCCCATTTATTCCAGTTCATCTCCTCCCTGCTGCTTCATTTCAGACGCATTCAGTCTGTGTGAAAATGCAGCGTTTGTGAACAATGGCCTGGAAATGAGCGCGAACGGTGCGAAGCATCTTTACCTCGATGAAGCTTTCACGCTTCAACAAAGACTTTTTATTTTCCTGCTGAATCCTAAACGGCAGACATTAGAGTCTGGGCTGTGGGAATAAGTTTGTTCTTCCTGCGAATCATAAGCGTCCGCCGTGATTTAAAGGCCAAATGTTTGTTTAAAGGACTCCTGAAAATCAGAGTAATATTTCTTGTGTGCGTCTGAGAAACAATCTGAATCCAAATATGTGTTTGTGTGAAAATGGCTGCTGCCACATTTCTCCTGATCCAGCCCCTCCGCCGCCATAGCAACCGCCGTGTTGCTCCACAGAAAATCACAAAGAGGAAAAAGTGAAAGTGTAATTTAGCCCAATTTTCCCCTCCGTGTGGGAAGTGTTTCTCAGGTGGGGGTTTGATGTTTATGATTTTTGCACGTAAAGAGTCGTTTCAATTTGCGAACGCAGGCTCAGACGCCGGGGTGTAGCATTTCTGCTTTATGTGACGCCCGGCGCCGTTCTAACAAACCGAGTCAATCGGGAACGTCGGCTTTGTCACGGCGCTCTGATCCGAGGGGCAATAATGGGAAGGATGGACGGTCATCAGGCGTTTAATGCGATGATTACAGGATTATTAAACGGGATAAAAAACCAGCTGATGCTCATGTGAGGGTCGCCGTGGCGGCCTCGTCTCTGACGCTGCTCTCCTCCAGCCTCTTTGTCCAGGCTGAATAGAGGTGGGAATAAAGGAGGAACGCGTTATTAGAAAAATCCTCCTTTCCATGCTTAAAAGCGTCGGTTATGGGCGGCTAAGGAGCACTCCGACATATCAAAGCTCCCTGAGGAACTGACCCCGGCTGACCTTTACTCTCATCCTGGTGCTGCGTTTCCACAGCGACCTGCTGATGCTGTTCATGAGCGGCTCTCCTTCATCTTTGCTGACTCATGTATGAACTAAGGAATTATAAAAAAAAGTATTTTTACCAGAGAGCTTTAGATAAACATGAGAAAGAAGCTGCAGACTAACATGAAGTCTAATTTTGAGGTGGATTTTTATGGCCGATATCAGAACCGATACCTGAATACGTCTTCAGCAGCTCCTCCATTGCTGTTAGTGTCCTCTTCAATTGTCAATAAAGGTTTGTTAATGTTTAAATTTAGACATTTCTAATCATTGTGTCGCTTTTATCACAGACATGGAGGAAAAGAAAACATTTAATCTGCAGAGAAATCGGCAGCATTTGGGGCTCGGTAACCAGGGGTAACCCAGACTGTTCAAACAGCCATATTGGATCAAAAAAAGAAAAACAGATCATTCTGGAGCTACAAAAACGTAAAAGTCTTCAATTTCAGTTTCAATCCGAAAAACTCACACGAAGAGAAAAGACAATTAGGAGAAATTTATTGATACGATTACTTTGTCTTTGGCGCTCAGACCTCGGCAGGAAACATAGAGCTGAATTTTGATAGATATGCATGAACAGGAGCAAAGAATAGATAAAAGAGAAGAAGAGATAGATGGAGTTGGTCAGACTGTAGACTGCTGGTTGGAGAGACGGTCTGCTGAGCTTTATGGGGAGATCCAGTGGACTGCATGAGCTGATACTAGAGCTTCACTCAGGGACCTGGAAGATGGAAGTCCAGCTTGGAAAACACAGGTTAAAGGAATAGTACACCCAAAACATGATTAGCCTTCATTTTCTACTCACCCCCATGCTGAACAACACTCTGGAGTACTTTTTTGATATCTCAAATGCATCTGGAGATCTGGGAGGCTTCTTGCTGTCTGCTGACATTCAAATAATGGAGGTCTATGGCGCCCGAGGCAGAAAGGTCCATAAAAGTCCACAAAAAACGTGTCAATATTCCTCCATACTGCTCGTCCAATGTATTCCAAGTGTCCTGAGTGGGTAGCATCCAGAATTTACTCGAAACGAAGTCATTTAGAATGTTTTTAGAGCATAAACAGTAGTGTATAGGATTTCCTAAAAGCGCGTTCACGAGTCTACGGAAACCGCGGCAGACCAAACCAGATGAAAGTGCGCATTCAGCTCGGCAAAGAACTCATGCTCTTCCTCAACACTGAAGTCCTCAGACATTTTTATTTCGTTGTTTCTTTCTTTGCACAGGTAAACAGCACATTTCTTCTTCTACGCTTGCATTATCGGCAGAGCAGACGCTGAATGCGCACTTTCATCTGGTTTGGTCTGCCGCGGTTTCCGTAGACTCGTGAACGCGCTTTCAGGAAATCCTATACACTACTGTTTATGCTCTAAAAACATTCTAAATGACTTCATTTCGAGTAAATTCTGGACGCTACCCACTCAGTACACTTGGAATACATTGGACGAGCAGTATGGAGGAATATTGACACGTTTTTTGTGGACTTTTATGGACCTTTCTGCCTCGGGCGCCATAGACCTCCATTATTTGAATGTCAGCAGACAGCAAGAAGCCTCCCAGATCTCCAGATGCATTTGAGATATCAAAAAATACTCCAGAGTGTTGTTCAGCATGGAGGTGAGTAGAAAATGAAGGCTAATCATGTTTTGGGTGTACTATTCCTTTAAGAGAACCTGTCCATGATGAGCAAGCATGAAGTGACAGTGGAGAGGAAGAACTCCCACCTTGTGAGGAAACGTCTGGCAGAACCAGACGTTTCCTCACAAGGCTCAAAACGATTCACTGCGCAAGCGACAGGAAACGCGCATGCTCACTAAAGGCGCACAACAGCCGCCCTGTGCTCGCGCCACAGGAGAACTATGGAGAGCGTGAAGGATCAAATGTTAGCCTATATGGAGAAACCAGATCTGAACGCCCTGTTAAAAAACTTCACACCCATGAGGAGAGGTAACGCAGCCTGATGATATTTACACCGCGTCAGATACAGTTCCCCCTGCTAAACATGGGGGAACGCTATCTGACGGGGTCTATAGGCCCGTCAGATGGCGTTCCCCCCTGATGTCATTTACGTTGAGTTGCAATAAATGCAAAACTGTAAAAACGGCGCGTCCAGCAGCTAAAGTTAAATTTTTCCAACTCCACCAGCTGCTGCTTTTCCAGCGCCTCAGATGCTCAGAAGCCCATGATGCGCTGCTTCAGCTGCTCTAGACGCTGCAGGACCCTTTTGCTGCACGCTGATGCGCATCAACCATTGAATTTGCATGTAAACCAGCTGCTTCTGCTGCCTCTAGTACGTGCGGTCTGAATGTAGCATTAGACACTAAATTTCTCCCTTCAGCCCTTTAGGTGCTGATTAAACGCCTGAAGTGGTTTTTCTCCACACAGAAAGGTAGAGAGATTTCCAGCTAGCAGCAGATCCAAGAATAGAAGTATAAGTAAACACTTTTTCACACTAAGGTTACCATAAAGTTCTGTATCAATGGACTCTGGGCAGCAAACCCTCAAAAAGCCTGGGCTTATTGAAAAGGAAAGTCATAATAAAATCACAATAAGACTCTAAAACCACCACTGTTCCCACCAACCTCTATCAGTTGTTCCATTCATGCTGATTCTGCAGTTTCTACCTCAGTCAGTTAAATAACCTGCTGCTGTCATTCTGCTGATCTCTGATGTTGCTGCTGTTTTCAAATTACTGTCAAAATGTCCATAGCTGGATATTGGTTATTTGTTCCCCAGGGGCTCAGTTTATATCGTTAAAACACTTTACAGGTGTAAGGTCCACATTTGTGTGATAATTTTTTCTATAATCGTTTTACTGCTGTAACGCCGCAATTTCCCCATTGAGGGACAGCAAAGAGATATTCTATTCTATTCTATTCTATTCTATTCTATTCTATTCTATTCTATTCTATTCTATTCTGTTCTGTTCTGTTCTGTTCTATTCCGTTCTGTTCTATTCTTTTCTGTTCTGTTCTATTCTATTCTATTCCGTTCTATTCTATTCTATTCTATTCCGTTCTGTTCTATTCTTTTCTATTCTGTTCTATTCTTTTCTATTTTGTTCTATTCTATTATATTCCGTTCCTTTCTATTCTATTCTATTCTATTCTATTCTATTCTATTCTATTCTATTCTATTCTTTTCTATTTTGTTCTATTATATTCCGTTCCTTTCTATTCTATTCTATTCTATTCTATTCTATTCTATTCTGTTCTATTCTTTTCTATTTTGTTCTATTCTATTCCGTTGCTTTCTATTCTATTCTATTCTATTCTATTCTATTACATTCTGTTCTATTCTTTTCTATTCTGTTCTATTCTTTTCTATTCTGTTCTATTCTATTCTGTTCTGTTCTGTTCTATTATTTTCTATTATATTCTATTCTATTCCATTTTGGTTTAAAATAATCACAATTTAGATTTTAGGTGAAATCCGTCCTTTCAATAAGCAGGTTTAACAAATTATTTAAATATCATTTTACAACAACACTAAGAAGATCAAAGTGCTTCACTGAAAGATAAAAACATTGCATAAAAATAAAAAATAAATAAAATCCTAAGCATAAAACAATGTGTCCTAAGTATTAAAAGCCGGTTTATAAAAGTGAGTTTTTAATCTGGATTTAAAAGGCTCAGATCAGTGAGAACCTGCAGACCGTTTAGTTTAGGAGCCGTAACCACAAAGGAACGACGGCCCCACTGGTTATACTGGAACCATTTGATCAGCAGACTGGAGAACTCTGCTGGGGGGATGTCAACGTCTCAGTTAGATATAACAGAGCGAGACCATGAAGGGTGTTAAAACTTTAAAATTAATCTGGAGACGGAGCCAGAGAGGATGGAGAGGATGGAGTGATGGAGAGGATGGAGTGATGGAGAGGATGGAGATGATGGAGTGATGGAGATGATGGAGAGGATGGAGAGGATGGAGAGGATGGAGTGATGGAGAGGATGGAGTGATGGAGAGGATGGAGTGATGGAGATGATGGAGAGGATGGAGAGGATGGAGAGGATGGAGTGATGGAGAGGATGGAGTGATGGAGAGGATGGAGATGATGGAGTGATGGAGATGATGGAGAGGATGGAGAGGATGGAGTGATGGAGAGGATGGAGAGGATGGAGTGATGGAGAGGATGGAGTGATGGAGAGGATGGAGAGGATGGAGTGATGGAGAGGATGGAGTGATGGAGAGGATGGAGATGATGGAGAGGATGGAGTGATGGAGAGGATGGAGAGGATGGAGAGGATGGAGATGATGGAGTGATGGAGATGATGGAGATGATGGAGAGGATGGAGTGATGGAGAGGATGGAGAGGATGGAGTGATGGAGAGGATGGAGTGATGGAGATGATGGAGTGATGGAGATGATGGAGTGATGGAGAGGATGGAGAGGATGGAGAGGATGGAGTGATGGAGAGGATGGAGTGATGGAGAGGATGGAGATGATGGAGTGATGGAGAGGATGGAGAGGATGGAGAGGATGGAGTGATGGAGAGGATGGAGAGGATGGAGAGGATGGAGTGATGGAGAGGATGGAGATGATGGAGTGATGGAGTGATGGAGAGGATGGAGTGATGGAGAGGATGGAGAGGATGGAGAGGATGGAGTGATGGAGAGGATGGAGTGATGGAGATGATGGAGTGATGGAGATGATGGAGTGATGGAGAGGATGGAGAGGATGGAGTGATGGAGAGGATGGAGAGGATGGAGTGATGGAGAGGATGGAGTGATGGAGATGATGGAGTGATGGAGATGATGGAGTGATGGAGAGGATGGAGAGGATGGAGAGGATGGAGTGATGGAGAGGATGGAGTGATGGAGAGGATGGAGATGATGGAGTGATGGAGAGGATGGAGATGATGGAGATGATGGAGAGGATGGAGAGGATGGAGTGATGGAGATGATGGAGTGATGGAGAGGATGGAGTGATGGAGAGGATGGAGAGGATGGAGTGATGGAGAGGATGGAGTGATGGAGAGGATGGAGATGATGGAGTGATGGAGAGGATGGAGATGATGGAGATGATGGAGAGGATGGAGTGATGGAGAGGATGGAGTGATGGAGAGGATGGAGAGGATGGAGTGATGGAGAGGATGGAGTGATGGAGAGGATGGAGTGATGGAGAGGATGGAGTGATGGAGAGGATGGAGAGGATGGAGTGATGGAGAGGATGGAGTGATGGAGAGGATGGAGAGGATGGAGAGGATGGAGTGATGGAGAGGATGGAGTGATGGAGAGGATGGAGTGATGGAGAGGATGGAGTGATGGAGAGGATGGAGTGATGGAGAGGATGGAGTGATGGAGAGGATGGAGAGGATGGAGAGGATGGAGATGATGGAGTGATGGAGAGGATGGAGATGATGGAGAGATGGAGAGGATGGAGAGGATGGAGTGATGGAGAGGATGGAGTGATGGAGAGGATGGAGAGGATGGAGTGATGGAGAGGATGGAGAGGATGGAGTGATGGAGAGGATGGAGTGATGGAGAGGATGGAGTGATGGAGAGGATGGAGAGGATGGAGTGATGGAGAGGATGGAGAGGATGGAGAGGATGGAGTGATGGAGAGGATGGAGAGGATGGAGATGATGGAGTGATGGAGAGGATGGAGTGATGGAGAGGATGGAGAGGATGGAGTGATGGAGAGGATGGAGTGATGGAGAGGATGGAGAGGATGGAGAGGATGGAGAGGATGGAGTGATGGAGAGGATGGAGAGGATGGAGAGGATGGAGTGATGGAGAGGATGGAGAGGATGGAGATGATGGAGTGATGGAGAGGATGGAGATGATGGAGATGATGGAGAGGATGGAGTGATGGAGAGGATGGAGAGGATGGAGTGATGGAGAGGATGGAGATGATGGAGAGGATGGAGAGGATGGAGTGATGGAGAGGATGGAGAGGATGGAGTGATGGAGAGGATGGAGAGGATGGAGATGATGGAGAGGATGGAGATGATGGAGAGGATGGAGAGGATGGAGTGATGGAGAGGATGGAGAGGATGGAGATGATGGAGAGGATGGAGATGATGGAGAGGATGGAGAGGATGGAGTGATGGAGAGGATGGAGATGATGGAGAGGATGGAGAGGATGGAGATGATGGAGATGATGGAGTGATGGAGATGATGGAGATGATGGAGAGGATGGAGATGATGGAGAGGATGGAGAGGATGGAGATGATGGAGATGATGGAGTGATGGAGATGATGGAGATGATGGAGTGATGGAGATGATGGAGAGGATGGAGATGATGGAGAGGATGGAGAGGATGGAGTGATGGAGAGGATGGAGATGATGGAGTGATGGAGAGGATGGAGTGATGGAGAGGATGGAGAGGATGGAGTGATGGAGAGGATGGAGAGGATGGAGTGATGGAGAGGATGGAGAGGATGGAGAGGATGGAGATGATGTGGCTTTAAGAGGAGACCAGCTGCTGCTTCCTGTTCTACTGTAACACTGGGAGGCCAGAGTAGAGGCGCTGCTGTAGTCAAACCCAGAATTGATAAATTCACGGGTCGCCTGTTTATCCTCAGGTTAAAACTCTGAGTTTCTGGTTTCATCAAAGCTGCTGTGAGTTAGTTTAATAAACTCTGAGCAGGTTCTTTCAGAAACAGAGTAAACTCTCAGGAGGATCTGAATCCTTCAGTCTGCCTCTGGGACTGAATCCCATCATAGACCATCTCTCTCTGTCTTGCAGGTGACGCCATCTTGGACGCCGTGTCACAGGACCTTATTGCTCCAGCTTCTGACTCGCTGACTCCTGAGCTGATGCTGCAGGATGCCCCTTCCCCTCCACCCAAACCCAGGGGTCCTCAGACGGACACGCTGCGTCCTCACATGCACTTCCTGCTGTCTCTGCTGTCTCTACATCGCCTGGACGCCAGCAGCAGCGGCGTGGAGGCTCTGTGTTGGCCTGCTGAGGGGGGCGGGGCCTCTGCAGTGGCAGAAACTCTCTGCGTCCTCCTGGACTCCGTGGTAACCGTCTTCAAGGAGCCCCCGGCTCTGGGGCTCGCCGACCCGGCGCCGCAGGCCTGCCAGGTGGCATCCAGAGCCTTGGACCTCCTCTGCTCGCTGAGGCGGCCATCTGTGGACTTCATGAGACGTGTGGAAGAGGCGATGAGGGAGCTGACTCAGATGCTGCTTCACAGCAAACATCCCAGCAGGGTGAGTAATGTTTGCACGCATCAGATGCCTCCTAACGACCGTCGCTGTGGAGGACCAGAGCACAGCAGATGGTCCTGATGAGCTGAGGGCATCAGCTGAGGGTCACAGACCCACGCTGGGATGGAGGGAAGGCCTTAAAGCCTCGTTTCTCTTGTTTCTGAAAATTCCTTTAAGGTTTTCCTTTTTTATTCACAGTCTTTAAAAACAGTCAAAAAAAAAAGGTCCGACCCAGAAGGACATGAGGAATGTGATCCGGTCCTGAAGGGTTCTGGTTCTGCTGGATAACCTGGAAAACTGTAATTATTTTCTTAAAATAACTGCACTTCTCTTGATATGAGCAGGTTAAAGTACCATTTTAAAAACTATTCGTTTTAAAACATTTTTTAAAATATGAAAGTAAAAGTAATGCAGGAAAAAATTGAAGGACAGATGCTTTAAACTTGATACTGGTTACTGAACTAACCTACGACCGTACAACTCTACAAAACTACGGCCGTGTCCGACAGTCCGCCATCAGCTCCCTGTTGGTCACATTACTAGGGCCCTATAATTTCCGTGATCACGGAATCGCGGATGGAATCGCGGAGTTTAGTCCGACGACGGAGGGACATGAGGGCCAAAAAGAGCAGAGATCCAGGTGGAAAAAGGGTCCCAGAGTTCTCGCTCACCTCGCTCTGCTAGCGGGTCAAACTTCACGAGTTGTTTTCCGCAATTTCGGCCATAAAAACAAAACAAGCCGGCCTCCTGTCTGCGGCGCTGTCTGCGGTCAGCTACAAATTGGGGGAGGAGCAGCGGAGCGTCTGTGGAGGGGGCGGGACGTCTGGAGCCGAGGTATTGCATTGCACTCATTGCACTGATTCAGTGCAGTATTATTTGATGCAACTTTTCTACTTCTGTTATTTGCTGTTGTTTCAAAAAAAAAAATGCGGACGATATTACAGCTTTCATTGATTTATTTCAAACTTGAAACTTTGTTTAGCCTGTAAGGTCAGAAAAAATAAAACTGAATAATTAATCGAATCAAATCGAATCGTGGTATATTCTTGATTATCGAAAATAATGGAATCGTTGGGTCAGGAAATCGATACTGAATCGAATCGCCATGATGGATGTGATTTACACCCCTAGTGCTGTTCCTGCTGCTCTAAAAATGCTGCAGGACCTTTTGCTGCGCCTTGATGCGCGTCAACCATTGACTTTGCATGTAAACCAGCTGCTTCTGCTGCCTCTGCTGCTTTAGGTGTGAATCATCAGACATGCCCCCCCCCCCCCCCCCCCCGCTCCTCTTTATTCCTTTTTAATCAAAGACTTGTTCTTTTGAGGCTCAGTGAAAGCAAACAATGGAAAACTCAGTTTCTCCCTGATTTCAGGTATTGTGTAGTTTTAGAATAAATTATTTAAAGTCCAAAAAAGAGTTTAGGTTTGAGGGTCAGACGCTGATCAAATATTTATTTGTTTGTTCTTCAGCCTCAGAGCAGAGAGATTATTATTGTTTTTATTCTTCAGACATTAGAAAGGAAGAATAAAACGATGCTGGAAGCCTCTGACCTGCAGCAGGAGAAAGGATGTTTGTCCTTTAGGTGGGGGGAGATATTTTCTTCTATGGGACTGAAAAGGTTTTTTCAGTCCCATAGAAGAAGGTTGGGGGGGGGTTAGTGGTTGGAAAACATGGCGTCTGCCTTCTGGAGACGGTGAAAGGTCGTTGCTCCCAAACCTGTTTTTAAATATATTCCAAATATTAACACAATTTTTATCCTTTTATTTCCTGAAAAATAAAAAAATTAATGTTTTTGACAACTTTTATACAAATCTTGTTTGAGTGAAATGTTTTAAATCAGGGATCTTCAAGGTTTTCCAGGCTAATGACCCCAAACTGATGGTGAGATGGAGCGGGACCCCCTGATTATATATATTAAATAGTGTTCTATCAAACTGGTCCTATAGTCACTCTATTACAGATGGAGTAATGTAACTAAAGTAATCCCTCCCTGGGATTACTAAAGTATTTCTGATTCCTGGTTGATGGGACAGGTGTTGTGAAGCTTGAAAGAGCTCCTGTGTGTCGCTAAATGTGTGCATTGATAATGGGCAGTTCTAGACAGGGGCCAACGGGGGCCAGTGCCCCTGTAGATCATGTCCTGGCCCTGTTATGGTCCCTGTACTGAAGACATGATACAAAAAGGAATTCTAATGATGATCTGAGCTGGAACGACATGGTTACTGATAGCTCCTATGCATCTATTTAATTTTTTTTCTTAAGAAGTTCTGTTTTACTAATTATCTGAGGGCATGCGCCAGATGATTAAATTAAAAGCAGCAAAACATACGGAAATGATCCAGGGTTTCCGCGGATCATTAAAAATAATTACAATCCATTATTTTTTGGGGGATTTTTTCATTAATTCCATAAATTTTTATGGGATTTCGGTGTAACAATCAACATATATCGAACGGTATACAGTGAACCCTCGCTATAACGCGGTTCATTTTTCACGGTCTCGCTGCTTCACGGATTTGCATCATGCATTGTTAAACTTTATTGTCAAACATATTAATGGTGGAATGTCGGTTTATAAGGATCTTTTGGACCAGAAGAAAAAAGAGCGACAACAACTACCGATAACTATGTTCTTCTCTCCAAAAAACTCACCTGCATCGCAGGATTTAGAAGAAAAAAACGCCACAGAGGAGAGTCAGGATGCAGCGGCTCCGCCAGAACAGCAGTGAAATACTGAACTGAACACGTCACTATTTGTCCTGCTGTACTTTGGATTTGTTTTCATAATCATTTCTCATTTTCTCCCGTTCCAATCCGTCCCAGCGGAGCGGTGCTGATCGCCGCAATATTAACCCTTCATTTCGTATTGATGATTAAAGTTATTACTTATTTATTTATAACTATATTATTTTACAGTACAGTAGTTAACAACGTTTATACCGTACTTTAATTTGTTAAACAAATGCTTGGGCCTGTGGAAAGTTTTTGTTCCTTGATTTCAATGTTTTATGGTGTATTTCATTGTATAATAACTGTAAAAAAATAAAGGTTTCTACTTCATGAAGTTCACCTATCGCGGGTTCTTTTAGGAATGTAACCCCAGCGATAAACGAGGGTTCTGTATGTTGATTGTTAGCCTGACATGTTGGTCATGTAGCTGTTGGCATAAACAACACGTGTTGCACAATGCTTGCACACTGTTGCACTTTTATCCACAGCTTTCTTTCCGCCGTCATCGTAGGTCACTCTAAATGCAAAGTGGTCCCATACAGCAGACCTATAAAGTGCTGCTGGCGCGTCTTCCAGCTCCTGTTCTTTCCCACTCGCCATACCCACACAATTCTCCACAACAACTGATTTTTTTCTGCCACTTTGGTCGCAGTACCGCCACCTTCTGCTCTGGAGTGTAAACGCTTCGCCTATGAGAAAAAGGAGCAGCGCATGAACCGAACGAAACACACGCGAACCGAACCAAGACAGTCGAACCGAACGGTTCGGACGGTTTTCATAAACCGTTCCATCCCTAATATATATATGTACTTTTTTTATAATGCTGTTTACTTATAAGAAGTAGGAGCTCTTGAATCAGTTTGTGGAACCTCAAGAATCTCTGAATTGAGCTATATAGTTTTTTCAGTCTCTCCAGGTTGTTTTTTTTTCATGACAGACATAAAAAAAGGTGGATAAACTTCATGAAGATGAAGTTTATCCAGCTAAAGCAGAAGATCAGCTTTAAGATGTGAGTTTAATGTAGAAAATGCAACAAAAAAAAACAACAAATTTAAATCCTCCTCTGAAGCCCTGGTCTGAACTAAACAGATGGCTGCTCTCTTGGAAGCTGCAAAGATCTGAAAAAGGAGAACTGGTGTTTGATTGAGATTTACCAGCGGGATTGTTGCACGACGAGAGTTAAAAAGGGTTATTATCAGGCAGCAGTTCAGTGCGACCTAAAATCGATGTCTAATTGTCGCCAACGACTGTGTTCTGAACATTTAGGATAATATTTCTGCTGCCGTGCAGCTCCTGCAGCCCATAATCATCTGAAGGAGATGAGCGTCCTTAATGGAGAGAGCTACAGATATACCGATTAGTTTGGAGAGGAAATATTATCCTGGATGTTTTCAGCCTCTGTTCTGATGTTCAGCACTGAAATTAGTTTAATGAGGTGGTTTGAAGACGCTGGACTCTCTCGGTTCATCGTCTCCTTCTTTATGCTGACCTCTGACCTCCACTTCTGCTGCGTTGGAACTCGAAGCTGCCAAGTTAAGCCTGGTTTACGCTCAGAAAGCAGATTGTCTGCGTGTGTCGCAGTTAACGCAGATATGCAGACACTCTGGTGCACCTCCCAAACATTGTAGGTGACTGCAGACAATGCTGCAGACTTGGGGTGTAAATAATAATCGTTTTGTATCGATGCATCTATCCAACAGCCGACGACCCGATGCATCGAAACGTCCGCAAGAAAATCGATTCATGTTTTTTTTTTTTTTCCCTCCGGTCTATTTTTATCCATTGGGCGTAATTCTCCTCCCGTGCTGCGGTGGCGCTAAACCTATTTTGCCCTCCTACCTAGCTTCCTGGTTATACTCCTGCAGCAGTGTGTCACAGTGAGCTTGATGCAGACATTTTTGATTTATGCTCAATATTGAAGCGTGGTCTGTGCTACACAGGGGTTGACGTTAAGGCTTTTAAAATCTGGAATTAGAAAATTCCAGGATCTGGAATTTACACATTAAATAGAGAAGCCAGTATGTTGAAAAAAAAATCAGCATTATTAATAATTTGGATCCATGTGAAGTTCCAAACAATGAGTGGAGCACCGATGAGTGAGCGACTATACTTCAAAACAGTTCTGAAGCTACAAGTCCTTGGAGTCTCATGTGCAGTTCATGAATGGATGGGTTCAGGAGCTGCACATCATAAAGCCAGCAAACAGTGGGAACACAGTCATCCCTACGAAGGTAAGCTGTGATCAGACGAGCTCTGGAACCTGCTAGTTTAG